TGTTTATTCAACGGTTAATATTGATATCATGATATGGTTAGAAAAATACACAATATTTTCACAATTATTCAACACCAGTTTTTCTTTCCTTGACACTACTCTACCCTCCACAAATCCGCGCCCTCTATCCTTGAGATTTCTCAAATACATTATCGAACTCACCAAAGCTTTTAACAAAATGAATTAGGAGTCACCTGTAAAAATAGAGGTTATCAATCTTTTCTTTTCACGCCAAAAACAAAAAGAATACCGAAGAGGATGCCATAGGTGTAGTAGGAAGAATCAAAGTTGGTGTCTTATTCCATGAATACATATATATACATGTACATAGGATCCTAACTATGGGAAGAAGTAAAAGAAAAATCCTAAAAATATGCAATCAAATCTCAATACTTATTCTATCTATTTATAGTACAAGTAATATGTCTACATTCATTCTTTAACACTCCCCCTCAAGCTGGAGCATAGATATTAATCATGCCCAGCTTGTTGGAAAGATAATTAACTCGAGTTCCATTTAACGCCTTTGTGAATAAATCAGCCAATTGCTCTCATGTCTTCATGTAACTAGTAGAAATCAAGTTCTCCTGAATCTTCTCACGAATAAAGTGACAGTCAACTTAAATATGTTTTGTCCTTTCATGATACACCGGATTTGAGGCGATATGAAGAGCGGCTTGATTATCACACCAAAGTTTTGCTGGTGTAGTATGCTTTATCCCAATTTCCGTGAGAAGGTGATGTATCCACATAACCTCACACGTAGTCTGTGCCATAGCCATGTATTCGGATTCTGCACTAGATCGAGATACAACATTGTATTTCTTACTTCTCCATGATACCAGGTTTCCACCCACAATGACACAATAGCCGGCAGTAGACCTTCTATCAATTTTGGATCCAGCCCAATCCGCATGTACAAAACACTCAATGTGAGAATGCCCACGATTGTTGTATAATATGCCAAGTCCAGGGGCTCCTTTTAAGTAACATCGAATCTGTTCCAGTGCTACCCAATGTTTGACCGTAGGAGCGGACATAAACTGGCTAACAACATTTACAGCAAAAGCAATATTTGGACGAGTCACAGTGAGATACTTTAATCTCCCAACTAACCTTTTGTATCTACCTGGATCATAAAATGGATTGCCATCATTTTTCATAAGATGCAAATTAGGAACCACTAGACTACTGCAAGGCTTGGCAGCCAACTTAACAGTTTCTGCCAGTAAATCAAGAATATACTTTCTCTGAGATAGAAAAATCCTCTTTTTGCATCTATTTACTTCTACTCCCAAGAAATATTTCAGTTGTCCCAAGTATTTCGTATGAAACTTAGTATGCAAAAAAGGCTTGAGAGAAGAGATTCCTGCATAATCACTTCTTGTAATAACTATGTCATCAACATATACAACCAGGAGAATAGATCCAGTTGTTGATTGCCTGTAGAAGACTGAATGATCACATTTGCTCTTTTTCAGCCCAATTCTTGAACTACCTCACAAAATTTTCCAAACCAAGCCCGGGGACTCTGCTTCAAGCCATACAAGGACTTCTTCAAATGACAAACCTTCCCATACTCCACCTGAGCAAAAAAACCAGGTGGTTGCTCCATATACACCTCTTCATGAAGATCATCATGAAGAAAGGCATTCTTAATGTCCAATTGATGCAAAGGCCAATTCTCAGAAGCTGCTAGAGAAATGAACAAACGGACAGAAGTAAATTTGACAACCGGAGAGAAGGTATCAGAATAATCCACTCCCTAAGTCTGAGCATACCCTTTGGCCACAAGTCTGGTCTTAAGTCTCGCTACAGAACCATCTAGATTAACTTTGACCGTGAAGACCCATTTGCATCCCACTGCTTTCTTTCCACTAGGTAAATTCACTAAATCCCAAGTATGGTTTTCCTCTAAGGCATGTATTTCCTCAAGCATGGCTTCAGACCATCCAGGATGATTCAAAGCCTCTTTCATTGTTTTGGGTATAGAAATAGAGTCTAAAGACGCAATCAAAGATCTAGACGCAGGGGATAAGTGATCGTAGGAAACAAAATTAGCAATAGAATATGTTGGTTTACAAGTACGTGTACCTTTGAGTAAAGCAATGGGAAGGTCAAGGTCTTCTGGAGGATCTGGCGGAAGAGGATCACATGACGAAGGAACTGATGCAGGACCTGTATCATTTGTCTCTCGCCTTCGCGAGTAAACTTGAACAATTGGTGGTCTTGCTAACACAGTTGGAGCAGGTGCTGAAGGTACAATAGTCGATTGGTGCTCGATAAAAGAGCTAGGAGATGGAGTAACATCATCTGATTGTTCTGTCAAAGTACGGGTAACCTGATATACTAGCCACTCATCTTCCTCCTCCTGACTTGTAGAGACGGGGGTGCATAAATAAATGGTATAGTCTCTGAAAACACTACATCAATTGACACCAAATATTTTTCAAGTTTAGTAGAATAACACCGATACCCCTTATGAAGGCGAGAATAACCAAGAAAAACATATTTCAATGCATTGGGATCCAACTTGGTAACAGATGGTCGAACATCTCGAACATAACATGTGCTTCCAAACACCTTAGGTTCCACGGAAAATTATGACTTGTTTGGAAAAAGAACAGTGTAAAGCATATTGCCACCAAGCATAGTAGATGGCATGCGATTAATCAAAAAGCAAGCCGTGGAGACCGCATCAGCCCAAAAATGTTTAGGAACCTTCATTTGGAACAAAAGTGCCCCAGCTGTCTCAAGTAGATGCCTATTCTTCCTCTCAGCAACTCCATTTTGAGATGGTGTATCAACACACGAAGACTGATGTAGTACACCATGTTGTCTCATGTAGGACTGAAATAACTCTACATGTATTCTTTAGCGTTATCACTTCTTAGAATACGCACTGAAGCATTGAATTGAGTTTTGACTTCAGCACAAAAGGCAGAAAAGTGAGTAAACACTTCAGAGCGACTCTTCATAAAGTAAATCCAAGTCATCCAGGAAAAATCATCTACAAAAGTGACAAAATACTTATGCCCAGATTTAGAAACAACAGGACATGGTCCCCAAACGTCAGAATAAACTAACTCAAAAGCTGACTCAGCTCGCTTATTAACCCTAGTAACTAACGAGATGCGATGATGTTTTGCAAATCGACATGACTCACAATCCAATGAAGAAATATTCTGAAACTGAGGACAGAGCTTCTTCAACAAAGGCAGAGAGGGATGCCCCATTCGACAATGTGCTTCAAAAGGAGACATGATACTAGAGCATGGAATTAGACTGTGGCTCTCATTCATCAAGGATATAGGGATCACCAGATAAATATCCTTTACCAATAATCTGTTTCATCATAAGATCTAGAAACAAACAATGATTGAGAAAGAATGCTACACAACAATTAAGGTCTCTAGTGATTTTATTAACATAAATCAAATTAAAGGCCAAGTTTGGTAGACTTAATACAGATGATAGGGTAATAGAGGAAGTTGGTTTAACAGTCCCAGATCCAACACTGCTACAAGTTGTTCCATCAGCTACAGTAACCGAAGAGGGTGCTTTGTGTGATCGAAAGCTAGAAAAAATATTTGGATTACCTGTCATGTGATTTGTGGCACATGAATCAATCACCCATCTATTTGAAGAGATGATAAGACATGTCTTATCTGACCCAGCAAAAGCAGTAACTGAAGAAGATTCCTTCGTTGATTTATGATATTGAAGGAACTCAAGAAACTCATCCGAGACAAAGATTGTTGGACTAGGAGTTGTAGCACTATTTCCTCCTTGCTTACTGTTATAGTCATTCTAATAAAACTCACGAAATATATTCAAGAAGAGATTAACTAAGTTCCAAGCAGATAGTCAATAAAGATATACTCCCAGAAATATGACCAAACCAAAGAACCAATGATGCACCAACAAATCACACATACCAGTAATATACTCCACCAGGAAATATAACCAAGAATAATGAAGTACATTTCACCAATAAAAGAACTCAAAAATACCAGATTATCTTCAGACTCCAAATAGGTACATAGCCGTGAAGGACCAAATCAAGATAGAAGAAACAAAGTTTAGAAGGAAATCAGTAACCTGGGACTTTCGGATGAGACTGTTAATGAGCAGCACTTCTGGGAGCAAGCTTTCTCAAATCGTGGTCAGCTCGAGTAGAAACCACCAGAGACACGCTGAAAATAACAACGTGACCTAGGAATAGTGAACCAAGTCTCAGACCGATCTCTCATGCACTGTCGGGGCAGATTATGTCAGAATTCCTCTACCGGTCCTTGGGCTTCACAAACAATGAATCCGGCAACCAAATTCTGGAAATGTGTATATCAAAAGGATTGATGGTGAGAGTTACTTCGCCACACCAAAAGGACTCTCCTAAAACCAGTCAAGTTCTAGTGAGAACGTTTATTTCTCGGCCGGATTTCAAACTCAACACCGGCTCTGATACCATGTGATAAACAAGGTATGGAAGAATCAAAGTTGGTGTCTTATTCCATGAAGTGATATATATATATATATATATATATATATATATATATATATATATATATATATATATACACACACACACATGTACATAGGATCCTAACTATGGAAAGAAATAAAAGGAAAATTCTAAAAATCTGCTATCAAATCTCAATATTTATTCTATATATAGTACAGGTAATCTGTCTACATTCATTCTTTGTGTCTACGTTCGTTCTTTAACAAATAGAATTCTAATGCGATTATAAGTCGTATTCTCCAAATGCAATATATAAGTTGTAATGAGCACGCGTGTCGTAAGTCATTTGTAAGTCGAATTTACGTAATGCGATTTGTAAATCACACTTACCTGATGCGATTTGTAAGTCGCATTCTAAGAATCCGATTAAAAGACAATAGAATGCAAAGAGAACATACTCGACATAGTAACCTTCGGAAAGAATATTGACATAATCTAATTATGTCAGAGCAACACATATTCACGATGCAAAAGAATCGTTGAAATGTGCATGTATCCTTAATAGTAACGTCTAGTAACGTCTGATGTCTTCAAGTATCGTATAATTATTTGGTCTCATACAATTAAACAAACAACGTCCAACTTGCTCAAATGTTAACAACATGACCTGTACAATGAGAAGCAAAATAAGAAAGCAAGAATGCTATTTTTCAGGAGGCGGAGAAAGGACCCCGGGAGGAGGTGCTGGTGGTGGCGGTCCATAGTACTGAGGAAGCATGGCGGTTTCGCGGCGGCCTCGTGATCTACCAAACAGGTAACAAGCAAGGGCCGTGATGAGGAAGAAGAGGATCATTGGCAGTGATATCAGAATCACGTAACCCATTGATTCAAGTTTTTCTTCAACCTAAAAGGCTCTCTTTTCCTGCCAAAATAATTCAGCAGACATATTAAAACATAACTAAACATAATTACTCCTAAACTCACGTTATATATACTAACAACATGAACATTTACCAATATATTCATGACTTAAATCCATGACTCGAGCTGAAAAGCAGAAAATGGCGGAAATGGTACACCATATGAGGTGGTCTTTAACTTTTAGCCTTTTGGGCAATGTCACTTGACCAATGGGTAAACCTTCAAGGTCAAAAGTCAAAGTTTTGCTCATTATTAAACTTGAAGTTTTGCCCAATATGGTTCGGGGGAAAATTTTATTTTGTGTCTCATACAACTGAGACTAGTTGTATGAGGCATTTTTTTTGTAGACCTAGATTTTTGTGGACCCAGAAGTGTAAGATTGGGGTCCACAAATTTGTGAGACAAAAAGGAGTCTCATACAACTAATGTAAGTTGTGTAAGACACACAATAAAACTTCTCTGGGTCAGGTGACATTCCCCAAAAGTCAAAAGTTCAAGACCATATCCTTTCCCGGTCATTTGTGTAATTGACCCAAAAAGTGGCTAGCCGCACTACCTAAAGGCCAACTATAACTGATGTCCAGCCCAACGGATCGATTCCCTCGCATGGTCGATGGTAGAGCTTGGACTTGACCCAATCAATAGGAGCGACTTAAGTATAAATGACATCAGGCAGCCACTCTAAAGGGTTGTTGTTTAGAAATTAGCCAGTGCGTCCTGAATTTCAATATTTCAGTTTAATTTGTCAAGACAAAAAAGTGCTGAGTTATCCTAAAGTTGAGATTTTTAGTTTAAAATTTCAGAAAAAAAAAAGTACTGGCTAATCTCTAAATAGCATCCCTGAGAATGTCTATCTGTGCACTTGTCCCACGACTTAAATCCAAGACCCAAGTTTTACTAACATAATTGTTTTCACTACTTACACAAAATCACTGGCATGTTGAGTACTTAAATATCTAGGTCACTTAAACTAAGTTAAGATACCATTACAAAAGAATTTAGAACGTATAGTATATTGGATGGAATATGCAAGCATAGTGCATACGTTTCATACTTGTTTGAGTAATAGCAATACAATTTTCCAATATCATGCTAAGAATAGCTAGAATTTTCAGAAGAAGAAGCCATCCGTTTGATGAAGAGTAAAAAGGAATATTGAAAGCAATGACTGGAACGGAAGAATCAGAATCGAAAAGAAGATCCCTCACTTTTTTATCTTATTCAAAACCGTGCATGAGACTTTCATTTCACACGGCTCCTAAGTCATAAAATACGTATATGTTTATACAGAAAAAAGGACACATAAATGTTTGCGATGAAAAAGACTACACATATGTAAAGAACAGAAGTCACCAGATTTCTCTAAATCCTAAATTCGCTACAGTACAAGAGTAAAATCAAGGTGTAAAGTAATGATTTCCCAATTTCATATAAGCCAAAAATGAAGGTTGATTCAAATTAAACTAACAAAAATGACAAAAATTAAAGAGAAACATACCTCGTTCTGCCAAGAAAACAAACCGATCAATCACCTAGTACTGAAACAAAAAACCGATCGAACCGTTTCTGAATCCTTAAAATCTGAAAAGAGGTGAATTCGAATAGCTGAGGTGTAGTGTTAACGTGGAAGGTTCGAGGATGATAAGGATGATGAGGTGTTTCAATATGACAGCTTTTCGTTTGTCTTTTATTATTTCCTTATTCTGTGGATTTTTATGTATGGTCATTTTGTGTAAAAATTATGTGGGGTAGCCACTATTTAAAGTGGTATTTACTTTTTATCCATCATTTTTAATGCTGAGCAAAACTAGCCACTAGTCAATTAAAATTAATATGAAAAGACTCAGTTACCCTTTCCTTCCCAAACAGAATTACAGTGGATTGTAAAGACTGGGTGGACGGAGCTAGACTTGTTAATAATCAGGGAATTATTAACAAGATCATTTTCTAATCTGAGGAAATCTCTTTTCGAGAAGCTTGAAAAGGTCATAGGTATTCTTTCTAGGTTGCTATGTTGTCCAGTTCTTAGTCATAGTTTGTGGTTAAGGTCTGCTTTTTTTTATGTAGGTTGCAGATGTAGTTAGTTGTGTAGTTTTAGATTATGGTGTTAAGACTCCACTCTCAATTACTGTCTGTTTCATTTAAAGGGAAGTCAATTTCAGTCATATGGTGGAAGTATATGTTCTTAATTGCCTCCTTGCATAAATTTGTGTAAACTGATGTTCTATGTGCTAATTATGCTTTGACTGCATGATTTGGTTTCAGTAAATTGATGTGCTAATCAGATTTTGCTTCAAAGCATAATATAACTTGCATACTACCTTGTGTGTGTGTGTGTGTTTTTTTTCTTCTTCTTCAGTTTTACCATATTTTCTGAGGAGCCATTTTTATGTTTGGTTGCAGGAGAAGATTGTTCAATATGATAAACGCCTTTTGGTTAGGCATCATAAAAAAAATTATAAAGAAGAAGAAAATCAAAAGTTAAGGATACTTGGTCCTGAACTTAGTAATACAAGTTCAAAATTTAAGGACACTTGGTCCTGAACTTACAGTTACAAGTTCAAAAGTTAAGGACAATAGGTCCTTAACTTTGATTTCAAGTTCAAAAGTTAAGGACAGACAGTCCTTAACTTACAGCTACACGTTCAAAAGTTAAGGACAAGCAGTCCTTAACTTACAGTTACAAATTCAAAAGTTAAGGACAATAGGTCCTTAACTTTGATTTCCAAGTTCAAAAGTTAAGGACAGACAGTCCTTAACTTACAGTTACACGTTCAAAAGTTAAGGACAAGCACTACTTAACTTACAGTTACAAGTTCAAAAGTTAAGGACAATAGGTCCTTAACTTTGACGTACAAGTTCAAAAGTTAAGGACATGTAGTCCTGAAGTCCTGAACTTAGAGTTACAGGTTAAAAAGTTAAGGACATGTAGTCTTGAAGTCCTAAACTTAGAGTGTCAAGTTCAAAAGTTAAGGACATATAGTTCTGAAGTCCTGAAGTTAAGGACATGAGAAGAAGGGTATTTTCGTCCGGGCAGTTAAAGTTCATTAAACCAGTGGCTAAAGACTAAAGACATTTAAAACACTGGCTTTAAAATAAAGACAGGAGCTGTTTGTGGCTATTTGTGCACATCGCCGTCATTTTGTTTCTTCTTTCATTACTTGACGTGAGATAAGGTTGTAATGTGGGGCGGGCCCGAGTCTAAATGGGCCTCGTGGGTCGGTCCCAAGTAGGTCCGGGTTTTGTGGGCTTTTGATAGGAACCGGTCCGGGATCGGGACCACGAACCAATGATCCCGGGTTTAGTGGGCCAATCCCGGGCCTATGTGGGCCCAACGGTTAATTTCAATTTATTTAAAAAAATTATTATCTAAGGCAATTCCTTGTAAAAATTATATTATAGAATTGTGAATTCAAATTTAAACACAAAAATATTGTAAAGAGATATTCAAAGCAATGCGTTATAATTTTATTATAGCATTAACAAAACATGGCAATATATTTCTTAGTCTTCCTCCCTCCATGGGATGAGCACAACAAGGTGCTAATACCACCATAGAGAAGAAAAAGAAACTAATCAAGATGTGCCAAAATAAAAGTTACATATTAATTTTACATGGTATCTCTTATAAATTTCATAAATCCTTTAAGGTTCGGAGGAATTTCCTTTGGTGGTGGCGGAAAAGAAGCTTGTTCATCACTGCTTCCGGCGAAGCTGCATCCTCCACAAGTTCAGCTAGCATTTCTTCGTAAGCTTCGTCTACCTCTGGTTGTAATTCAGCAAGTCCAAAATTTCTTCGTTCCGAACGGATCCAATCTTTGAAAAGTACTGATTTTTCCAAGCTCTCCCTCATAGACGCTCTATAATCACCGAGTTGAAGTCTTGCTTGACTAAAAGCGCTCTCCGATGCCATTGTTGAAGCTTGAATGGTTAAAATATCTCGGGCCATCCTTGAAAGAATCGGAAAGTGTTTTTCTTTGTCCTTCCACCATTCCAAAATATTAAAGGAGTCGTCGGGATTCACTTCCTCAATTCCCCGTGACAAATAAACTTCAAGCTCATTTAGTTGTGAACAATCACTAGTACTAGAACCTTGAGAACCCCTGAACCCGGCCCAAGCAGTAAGTGCTCTAACTCCCGCAGTTCTTTTAGATGATTGAGAACTAGAAGAAGAAGGAGTTGGAACATTTGGTCTAGCATGATCTATTGCAATTTGATAAGCACTATAAATAGTTTGAGCATTTATTTTAATTGAGGCTTGTGCTTCCGAATGTGTAGACAACTCCTCATCTTCAAGTGCTAAACTATTATAAATAGTTTGATACCAAAATTGAAGACCTCCTAATTTCATAGTAGGATTTAACAATGCAGCAACATCATAAATAGGGGAATAGGAAAAAATTATTTTTTAAACTTCTTTCTCATAAAATCAATAGCTTGTTCATAAATGTCCCCACCCTCTGAAAAATAAGCAAACAAATTTGCAAGTTCTGCAATATAAACTAAACAGTTAGAAATAGTAGGATAATATTGCCCAGAAAATTCATTTGTAGCAATATGAAATTTTTCTAAAAAATCTACAAGCATTTTAACATTAGCCCAATCCGCATTTCTAAGGTGCTCATCATCATCACTTACATGAGCATTAGATGTTGAGTTTATGGGGTTTCTATATTCATATGCAACAACTAAACTTTCATACATGTAATTCCATCTAGTTGGACAAGGTTTAGGAACCTTTTTTTCTCTTAGGCCAAATTCATCGCATCTTTTAAAATATTCTCGTCGTCTACTTCTACGGTTTGAATAAAAAAGCCAGTTAAGAGCCATTTTAACCTTTTCAATTTCGACATTTAAAATTCTCATACCATCACCCACAATTAAATGGTAAATATGACAAATACATCTAACATGAAAAATGTTACTAAATGCAGGATTTAGTGTAGTGGTAAGCAAGGCTACATCATTAGTGTTACTAGTAGCATTATCCTTTGAAATTGACATTATTTTATCACTAATGCAAAAATATCTACAAAATATCCGTAACCGTGCTAGCAATAAACTGCTTTGTGTGACGTGAATTAATTATTTTATAAGCGATAATGCGCTTTTGCACTATCCAATTCTCATCAATCCAATGACTGGTAACAGTAAGATAATCACAGTCATTACCACTTCTACCAATATCAGTAGTAATAGCAACACGACAATTAATATGAGTAAATAAATAGTGCAAATATTGTTCATATTCATGTTTATATTTATAAATATCGCTCTTTACGGTTGTGCGAGGCCATCCTTTATAAGTAGGATTAAAAACTTTTCTAATATAATGCACAAAGTGAGGGTTAGAAGGAAAACTATAGGGTAAGCACATAACAGTAATTATTTTTGCCAATTCTTCCCTATCTTTTCTTGGATCATAATATAAAATATCACCGGTAACAGTGTTAATTCCCGGTTAAAATTAATTTGACCCGGTACTAAGGACAGGCTGAGTAGGTACACTTGTCCCCTCGGCCGAAGCTTTCATATGAAGATATTTAACTTTATCTTGAGGGTGTAGCATTATGTGTCTCATCAAACTTCCCCCCAACCCAACATATTTAAAAGCTAACTCTTTCCACAAGTTTTACACTTAGTTCTATTTTTTCTCTTATTTGAATAAAAAATGGCCAAACAAGAGATGTTTCAGCCCGTTTAGAAGGTTGTCTAGAAAAACTAGAGTACTAACATGGGGGTCAGACGGGGCATCATTTGAATTATTATTAGTTGGGTTAACTTCAGCAACAGGACTAGTGGGTGTATCGTCTATTTCCTCCTCATTATCTTCATCAATAGTTGGATTACCATAAAAAGCATTCATATATTCATGGTCTAAGTGTTCACCACCTCTAACATTATGCAAATATTGTCTCTCAGTAAATTGTAATAAAGTATTATCACAATCAAGAATAGGAGCAGGTGGAGGGCGGGTATGGGGTTTGAGTAGGGGAGCCCGGGGAATTGGAGGAGGAATAGATTGGCCACTAGATTCACCACTCTTGGATTTTCCCTTATTTTTACTAAATATTTTTTTAACGAAAAATCCATCTTAATTAATCAAACAATACAAAAAAGTAAATAAAACAAAACAAAACTATAATATTAAAACTTAAGCGTTGGAACGAGTTTACCGAATTGACGAATAACTTGTTGAAAATTAATTATCGATGAAGACTTGAATACTTCAATTCACCTACTTCGCAATTTTTCACACAAATTGCAACAATAAAGTAACCAATTATAGAAGAAAATTAGAGAGAGATTGATGATTTTGTGAGAAAAATGAAAGAATGAAGGGGTATTTATAGTTGAAAATAGGGAAAAAGTGTAATTATAAAAAGGTTGGGTTAAAAAAAGTTTGGGGGGTTAAATGGCTATTTTATAAATAGCCAACGGATAGAAAACGGCCATTTTTTAAATGCCATAACGGCTAGAATGGCAGAATTTTTTTTTTCTTAAAAAAATTAGCCGTTGGACCCGTTTAGGCCCTCTTAGGACCGGTTGAACCGACCCACTTACCAGCCGGTCCCGGGCCCAAACGGTCCCGGTCTTCGCAGGACTAGTAAAGAGACCGACCCACCTGGAA